GATAGCAGGGGAGAGCTTTGCTGTTGAGATCATTTATGTGTCCAGCTGTTGGCAACATCCAGTGCCATCCTGAAGTTTGGTCACCAGAATACTTAGCGTTGCTTAGACCAAGTTGGGCAAACACGATTGTTTTGATCTTTGATGAGCTCAGGGTAATCTAAACTTCCTGAAGATAACGATGCTGTCTTTCATCTGACTTTGAGTCCTGAAGGTCCTGTATCTTGTTTCTCTCTCCCGGGACTCCCTAACTTCCTGCAGATATGGAGCTATGAGGATGCCCCAATGCCAACTAGGCTGTGCACAGAACCCACCCAGGAGATGTGTTAAAACAGACACCTGACCCTGAAGACTCTAAATCTGCAGACTCAGCTTCCTTCCCTGCCGCCCTTGAACTTTTCTTGGCAGTAGGTTCAGGAGTTTGTGAAAATGATTTGGTTACACAGCAGAGGCTCCTCTGCCATAAGCAGGAAAGCACAGGGCAAACAAATGGGTTTCCCTTTTTAATTGAGCACAGCGAGGCCTCGCTTGAACACGGTCCTTGGGTGGTCTGATGCATCTCAGAGTTGGAGAGCCACCACTACAGTGCAGGAAATGGGAACTAGATTTCCCCAAGTTCCCGGGCCGCTCAGTCAGGGTGTGAAATCAGGATGGTGCCCAGGGAGCTGGTGGAGGTACAGGCTGAGCCAGTGGGTTCAGGATGGAATCTGAAAGGCATCTTTCTGGCATTCCCTGCAATGGCATTGCTTGTTCCTGGAACACACTTTAAGGAGTAAAAGCATGCGCTGGAGAGTTCTAAGGATCTGGAGCAAACTTTTGGTGTTACCACCTTACCAGTTGTGAGAAGCTAGGCTGACTATTGCACCTCCCTGGTCTGTTGGTCTGAAAAGTGGGATAGTGGGAAGGGAGATCGCACTATGCCCAGAGTATTGTAAAAATCGAACATTCCAGGATAGAAGCATTGCAAGGTTAGCTCACAAACAGTCTAAGTAACTCTTATACTAAAAATTCACCAACTTTTCATTTCGGCATTCAGGCTTCCTGGAGCTGCCCGAGTGGCTAATCTTCCTGGAGAGGGTGCAGCTCGCTGCACTGCTTCCCTTCATGGTCTTGAGCAGAGCACGCTGAGGCACAGAGAACTGAGCATGCCTCATTGAGACTCACAGGGCTGCTCCCCATATACTGGGGTCTGGAAATGAGGGGATCAGAATGGGCCTCAGCCAGTTCTCCACAGTGGTTTCTGACTTCCAGGCCATGTTTGTGAATTGCATGTTATTCTGAAGCATCACTAAGAAACAGCTTTCTTTCTGCGGTTGATTTGTAGAATCCCATTAGAAGTCAGTGTTCTGCACTCCGATTGCACTCTATGACTTATTCTGGGGCATGCAGAATTATAAGACTGGTCAGAAATGCTGACTGTGCATTCCAGGCCACTCAATGTGGTTCCTTGACCTGCGTGCCAAGGCTTTGAATGGGTTTAGGGTGGTTGGGAGGAATCATGAAAGAAATGCTTCTGGCCTGGGTTCTGGAACACTGTGCCATAGTTGGGGAGTGGAGTTTGTTACCAGGAGATCCAATGACTGTCCTTTGGCATTCTTCTGTGGTTAAGAGCGTGACCATGGTAATGCATGTCCTAGGATTTTACAGCAACCCACAGCACAGGACCAGTGTTCTCATGATGAACTTTGTGATCAGCATTACCATGGCAAGGGCTTACCACCATAGGTCCTCAGTCTACTTTACTTAACCTAAGTGACCTTTCTTGGTGCTGCACTTACCTAGCTTTTGATAACCCCAAGACTATGCCTTTGAACCTAGCTCCCTGGTAGCCAGAGGGAATTCATGAGGATATGACTATTCTGTCTTCAAGAGACTTCATCTCACTGTTCTTTCAAGATGTTTGAATTTATTTGTATTTTTTATTATATGTGTATAAGTGTTTTGCCAGCATGTGTGTAAGTGCACCCATTAGAAGAGGGAGTTGGAGCCCCTGAAACTGGAGTTACAGACCATTGTCAGCCATGTGGGTGCTGGGAACTGAACCTAGGTCCTCTACAAGAGCAGCCAGGGCTCTTAACTGCTGAGTCATCTCTCTAGCTCCACTCACTGTTCTTTTTAAGACGTTTCTTCTAAGTACCTTTGATTAACTACATGGTTCCATAGAAGGTTCAGTTTTGATTTTTGGTTCTTTTCTTTCTTGTAACCCCACACCTCCTAATTTGCTATAAGAGGCTTTTCAGGTAGGAAACAGGACATGGCAAAATGCCCATGATATGAATAGAAAATAAATTTTCCTCTTCTCCTAGATGCAGATCATCTGCATATCCACAAAGCCCGTGGGTAGCAGCACTTCCTATCCCAGAAAAGGAACCCAGAGTCTCTGATTTCCCAGGAAGCAACAGGAGACTCGAGACTTCCTAGTAGGTTGAGATTGCGCCTCCTGGGATCATACTCCAGGGCCTGGGCAATCAGAACCATAACCCTAGGCTTGGGAGTGGGTTGGTGGGAGGTCTGCCCCGCACGGTCCACTCAGGACAGCAAGCAGTAGGCTTGAGACAAGGGAGAGGTGTTGGTGGAAGTCAGCAAGGGTGCCACGACCACCACCACCACGTGTAAGCTCCCAGTACAAAGAAGAGCCACGGCTTGCTAAGAGACTACAGCACCTTGGACGGAAAAGAACTTGCTGTGGAGCCAAGACTCACGACCCTTCAAGAGGGAACTGGAATATGGGGAAACAGAGGTGTGGTACAGTGTACAGGCAAGGTGTAGGAAAATATGTGGCTGGTGGGTCCATCATGCTAAAACTGGGCTGACACAAAAGCAAGGATGGGGGGAGGGAGAGAAAGAGAGAGAGAGAGAGAGAGAGAGAGAGAGAGAGAGAGAGAGAGAGAGAAAGTAGTTGTTAGTAGGGGTTTGACCTCTGGTACACATAAACTAGGTGTGGTGATATACGCCTGTAATTCCAGCATTTAGAAGGTAGAGGCAGGGGGATCAGAAGTTTAGGATCATCCTTGGCTTCATAGTGAATTTGAAGCCATACTGGGATACATGAGACCCTGTCTCAAAACACAAAAGAAAACTGTGTCTCTCAGAAGGGCCTAAGAGTTTCTTGTATAACCTGCCTGCTCCAGATCCTTCGCTAAAGGATTTCATGGCAGTTAAGAAGCGTACCCTGTGGAGCCAGATTCCACAGTCTTTCCCTTTTGTTCAATGATGATGATGATTTTTTAAAAAAATAACCCACCGTGGAAGACTACAGCTCTGCCAGGAAAAACAATGCCCTGCCATGGTTTAAAGTATGTTACAATTTGTGGCTGTGTACCCAGGATCTGACATGGCGCAGTGTTCTATTTCAACCCGATTTAATTATATGTTCTTTCCATATATCGTTGGTGGCTCACACTGGCAGAGTTGTTTCGCCTGGTGAAAAACTGGCCATGACTTGTCATGAGGGGCCCGTTTACAGAGTGGTTGGAGGACAGTCACTGCCCATCATTTGGGAATTATGGCTCCATAACAACCCTTTATTTACATATACTGCTGAGACAGTAAAAACAGCAAATAGATTTCTTAAATCGAGATGGCAGAAACTTTCCCCCAGGGTACTGGGCCCTCATTGTGGCAGTGACATATGGGATTCTGAACAGCTTTGCTGTCTGTGTTCCCACACTGCATCATTCCAAGGACAGTTTATAACATTCTAATAATAAAATGGACTCTAAATTCGGAGTCGGTCACATGAACATTAGATGGTAATGCAGAGCAGGATCTCTAAGTGATTTGTGAGGAGGGTTTAAATTTGCTAATCATGCCGCTGCTGAGCAGCTCTGCAAAGGGACTGGAGAGGAACACAGGATGGGGGTGGGGGGTGCTGGTGGGAGGTGACCAGCCTGACCTGGAGACACAGACCCTGCATCTAAGTAAAGTTGAGAATTCTCATATCTCAGGCTCCTGAGCCTTAAACAACCTTGGCTCTCCCACCAAACAAGGGACCAGCTCGAGTCACCTTTCCTCCCTTCCCTTCCTTTTTTCTCCCTATATCCATCCCCACCCCCGGCCCCCGCCATTCTTCTTCACAATGCACCTGGGAGGGAAGAAATTACCAGGGAAAAGCATTGTGGCATCCTTGTCTGGAATCCGTCCTGAGGTCCCCTGTATGTTTCCAGCTCCTCCTTATTCTCTCTTCTCTCTCTCTCTTTCTCTCTCTCTCTCTCTCTCTCTCTCTCTCTCTCTCTCTCTCTCTCTCTCTCTCCCCCCCCCT